TACACTCCTTTCACCTTCAGTCCCTGATCCCACATTGCTTCCTCTACTATTACCCTGACCTTATTGAAATTCACTTTTTTGAAGTCCAGAACTTCAACCCTGCTAGCTGATTTGCCTGCCTTGCGATGGACAGGGAACATGATGGTTTCATGATCACTGTTGCCCAGGCTACCCTCTATATTAAAGTCACTCACCAGATTGTCTCCTTTGGCCAAGACCAAGTCTAGGAGACCTCTGGCTGGCCCATGCACTTCTTGAGTCAGGTAGAGCTCTTCAATACAGGTCAGGAAGCAACGCGACTGATTCAACTTAGCCGAGTGTTCCTCCCAGGAGATGTCTGAGTAATTGAAGTCACCCATGACAACCATGTCTTGTGCGCGTGTGGCCTCTGCCAGTTCTCGAGAGAACTCCAGATTGAGCTCCTCCCCCTGGTTTGATTGTCTGTAGTATACACCTATAGTTAGGTCTCTCTCACCACACTCCCCCTGTAGTTTGACCCAGAAGGTTTCAAGCTGCTCTTCTTTAAAACTGATGTCAGCCTCCAAGGAGGTGTACTGCTCCCTTACATAGAGAGCTACACCTCCACCTTTCTTTCCTACTCCGTCCCTTCTGTGCAGGGTATAGCCCTCTATAGCTACATTCCAATCATGTGAGGAGTCCTACCAGGTCTCTGTAATCCCTACTAAATCATAATGCCCACTAAAAAGTAGGAGGGCTAGCTCCGCTTGCTTGTTCCCCATGCTCCTGGCTTTAGTGTACAGGCACCTGAGTCCTCCAATTGTGACCCTCAATTTCCTGTCATGCTGAGGGAGAACCATTCCCTCAGGTCTTGCAAGAGTGGCTCTCCTAGTGTCCCCAACTTCAGAGCTTTCTTGTCCCTGTGCATGCTCTAGTCAGTGTTTCCCCGTCCCCCGGTGATCTTAGTTTAAAATCCTATCTAGAAGATTGGCCATCCTGGCCAAAAACAGGAAATTATCCCTCGGCATGTGGTGGATGCTGTCCCTTCCCAGGAGTCCTCTCTCCCTGAAGCGTGCACTGTGGTCTGTTCTGTTCCTGCTCCCATTGAAATTGATGGGAGTTTGGCCATTGGGTTTGATGGGAACAAGAACAAGGCCTTAGACTGAAATCATTCAATAATAAAACAAATCAGAAAAAAGCATAAAAGATCAAGACAGCATCTTATTGAATATTGAAAACCCAGAGCATATTTTTCTTAGAGAGTATTTTTAATCATCTTTATTCATATGATCATTTTTCAGTAGTTCTCAGCTACTACAGCAGTGTGTTACTTAAAATAAATCAATTATTCTTCTGTCTTAAGTGGTAAGGGCCTGAACATTTGTTTAGGAAAGATCCTGGCTTCAGTCTTGCAGTTTGCAGCTAAACTTCCATATATTTTTTCAGCCTGCTATAGTGGGCCAGATCCTGATATCCCTTACAATGAATAATAGTTCATTAAGGTCAGTGTAAACCTTCATTTGAGCAAGCACTAGCCAATGCAAGTAAAGGCTTTACAATCCTACCCAATACTTAAAACATTACCATCTTGAAATTGGTGATTTGTTCATTTTTATCAGAAAAATAGTATTTGTTTCGTGGAACATAGTATCACTACAAGGTGTTGTTAAAAGCTCTAATAAGTTTATTATGGTTTGGCCTAATTACATTACCAGACTTAGCTATTAGTATACATGATATTTAAAAAAGAAGGCTTTAAATATCAGTGTTTTACTTGGATTTTTTTCCCATCATAGGGCTGAAGAAAGACAGTTCTGGATTGGATTTAATAAAAGAAATCCGTTGTCTGGAGGATCATGGCAGTGGTCTGATGGAACTCCTGTAAATATTCAGGCTATATATACTATCAGAACCTATCAAGTTATAGCTGAGCATGAAAACACAAAAACTTTACAAATGGCCAACAAATTTGGCCACACATTATGCTGGTAGTAATCTGTTTAATCAGATTCAATATGTATTTTGTGCTACCTCTTAATTATTGACAAGTTCAGACTTTGTTCTGTGTACAGGTAAATGTATGGTATTTTAAATAATGACATTCCAAAGAACTGCAAAATGTTGAGTTTATGAAGAGGCTCCAAGTAAAAAGTTTAATCATTAGAATTGAATCCAAGAAGTGATAAATACAAAATGAAACTTAATGATGATTCAAAAAAAAATTTTAATGCAGAGCTAAGTTGGTTTGGTTTTTTACGTCATGTTCTTCCAGAATGTTGAGTTAAGACAAATGTGTTTAATCATGCAATAAGTTGTAACATGCCACACATTCAAGCAATTCTAGGGTTACCACATGTCTGGGTTTTCCTGGACACATCCTCTTTTTTTATTTTTGTGTCCTGGCAAGTTTTTAAAATGCAAGCAAGTGTCCGATATTTTGCTTTCCCTCTGCTTTCCTGGGCACTAGCAGCTTGTCAGCTTGGGGCTGGGAGTAGCGGGCAAGGTCATTCGCTGTTGGAGGGGTCACGTGCTCTTCACATGGGCCCTGGCAATCTGCTCCCAGGTAAGAGAGAGAGAGTGTGTGTGTGCAGGTGGAAACTGCGTGGGCAACAGGGCTGGGAGGGGTAGGGTGGGTTGGAAGTGAGGGGCATCAGTAGGGTTGGGGGGGATGGGGCTGTGGGTCAGGAGTATGGGGCACCAGCAGTCCCCCACCACAATCATATACCCCTCCCCCCTCTCCTCCCCACCCCGCTCCCTCCTTTCCCCCCACAGATGTCCTCTTTTTTGATACTGGAAATATGGTAACCCTAATTATCTTTCACACAATAAAAATGGCAAACCAGCCTTAAAGTTGATTCTCCTTAAATGCAAAGCATCTTTGTGGCTGGTTTGTATCTTCCTTTAATTTGAACTTGTGGCATGTTACACATTGAGTGATAGGACTTGGTTAGATCTCCAGCAGCCCAGGATGCACTACAGTCTGTGGGCAGCCCCAGGTACTGTACAGGGACTCTGACCAGTCCCAGAACAGCAACAGGGCTGTAAAACAGTCCGCAGCCAGATGCATGGGCAATGGGGCCTGCTCTCTCATCCCTGTGGGGAGCCAGGTTTATACTCATAGCTTCAGCTGCTGCCCTGGGTCCATGACTGATCCCTCACCCTGGTTTTGTGCAAGGGGAGTGCTTCCTGTCCTTTGCACAGAAGCAGGGTGACAGCTATTTAGGGAGTGGGGGAAAGCTGTTCAAGCTCTCCTTGGGGTGCTGGGGATGGCTAGAGCTGTGTGGGGAATGTCCCCTGTCCTGAATTAGTCCTTTATAAAGGGTGACGGGCATTCCCCCATGGTTCAAGAAATTCCCAGCATTCCTGAGATTGCCTGTATGGCAGAGCCTGCTCTTTCTCAGAACTGGGGTGACTTGGTTCTAACAAGGGGTGGCAAGCAGATGGACCTGGGAACTATCCTGGGATGAATCAAGGCAAGAGGGAATGTCCCCTCTAGCCAGTCAGGTGAACAGGTGGCATTCAAAACAGCAGAAGGAGGCTGGGGGTGGCCTGATAGCACCTCTCCAACTCTCCTAGCTAGTGAGCACTGGCAGGGCTAGCTCCTGTGCTGATTTTATCACCTTCAGACAGCCACTTGAATGTCAAACCATGCACATTTTCATTGTGCAACAAAACTCAGTACCTGTAGTACAACAAAAATTAAGTCTGCCAGGGCCTAAGGAGTACTGAGTTAGGGCCTTAGGAGAGGGTACTCATGGGCCTTATTTTAGGTTTTTACCATATTTTGAGTACCCGTGCTTTTCCTATTCTATAAATTATTTATAATGGACTAATGATAATACATGCATATGTACATTTCAAAATCCCTTCTATTAATATTGTATTAAACCATCCCATCTGCAAATCTCAAAGAGGGTTAATGAAAGCATTATTTACTTGCAGGTTGTATCTGCATTTTTGGAGAACAAATATTTTGAGGATGATTCAAGAAATTGTGCTGCATACAAAGCAAATAAAACAGTTTTGCCAGTAAATTGCAATGAACAGCGTGAATGGATATGCAAAATACCAAAAGGTAAAAGAGTTAATAAGCTAAAATTTAATTCATATGCAGTAACTATAATTATGATAATCATTTTATAACGGGAGAGAAGCAGGGAAGTTGTTCCCAGGCTATAATTTGCTTTTATTCCAGGCCAGGACTCCTCTTCATTGTTGATGGGAATTCCACTGTATTGAATAAGGCAGCACTGTATGACTCCCTTAGGGTTTGATGGTCATTTAGCAAATGTAGCAACAATACCAATGTGCTCATTAGTTTAGAATGGCCTAAATCAGGGCTGTCCATCTGACGGCCCACAGGTTGCAGGCAGCCCATGGGGGGTTAACATGCAGCCTGCAGGTTCCTGCCCAGCTATCAGCTCCCCCAGCAATGCTTCTACTGGTGCAGTTATCAGGGTCTCTGGGCTTCTCCTAGCTCCCTTGGTTTTTGCTTCCTCTCTCTGGAGGGAAGGGCACATGGGACCCCAAGGAGTAGGACCGGGCTGCCTGCACTACACATGACAGTAGGGTGATGAAGGACAAACTGCCTGCTGTGACTGCACAATACATGCAGTGGGAGGAACTAGGCTGCACATGCAGTGGCAGGATGGGAAGCTGAGAAAGGACGGGCTGTTTGCCCATCTTGCCCCTGTGAAGGAAGCCAAGCTACATGTGCTATATGTAGCAGGAGGCTGGGTTGCCTGTGAACTGGGGGAGAGATGGGGCTTGCATGTGTCCCACATGGTGTGTTTCCCCTCGCCACTCAGCAGTTGGGCAGCGCTGGTCTAGGCTAATGCATGTTCTAAAAGTCTAGAACCAAGTGCCTTTTTTGTTGCTTAAAAAATGGTCAGTTTTTTGATAAGCTGTCACCACTGTTTTATTCCATCTTTAATTTTTCACCTGACCAGTGAAAGGAGTAGAATAAATTGCAGTTATTAAATTCTACAATACAGTTGGGGGCATTTTGCATGAAATATTGCTTCTTAAATTTTAAACTGAAATACCTTTTTTACAGGCATTAGACCAAAGAGTCCAGAGTGGTACATACATGGTATGTATGTTCTTTCATATCTTGGAACATTTTAATTTGGAAATATATCTAGTTAAGTGATGAGTAAAAGTAATTATTAAAAGGTTTTAAGTTAAATCTACCACTAAATAATTTTTTAGGAACTGCTTAACTCCCTGTGGGCTTCTATGAACATGTCCAGGTGAGCATGGTCATGCGGTATGTGGCGCTGCAAACTCGTAGCAAACAGTGCCACATACCGCTCGTTCTGATGTTCTCCATGCTGCAAAGGTGCACTGCCTGAGTGTGTGCTGCCACTGCTGTTTGTCCCCAGGGAACCAAACATCCATGTACATCTGGATGTGCCCTACGAGGCCCAAACCTGCTGCTCTTAGTCATGTTGGGACTACTCAGGAAGTAGAGGTATCAAGGTATACCTTTAATAAAGGTATCAGAATTTGACCACTAATATATTTCACAGGAATTTGCTATCCTCTCAAGTGCATTAGAATTAGTGTCAGATTCCTTAGTGTCTTTGTCACAGGGTATAATTCCAGGTAAGAGAGAATTCAGTCCCTGAATGGGTTTGTCTCATATTTGAGACTAAAGATAATTAGTGTTTTACTATGGAATCATGGTTCCTATGATACATTTTCTTAATCGCAAAGAATTTCTCACAAAAGAATCCAGATGATGTCTTCTATCTTCCATGACAGCTGTGAATCCTTTGCTTACATTCTAGAACCATCATGGTTTTATTATCAAGGAGCAGAATACCTTTTTCATGAAAGTCCCTCAGAATGGGCCGCTTTTGAGTTTGTCTGTGGGTGGCTTCATAGTGGAATAGTGTCAATACATTCCTCTGAAGAACAAGAGTTTATTCATCAGAAAATTAAAAAGGTAAGAAAACAAGCCTTTTTGTAAGATTATATTTTCACACAATAATTAGTTGATATCTGTTGTGTCTTGGAATTTCTGGTTTTCTGTTGGCTTACCTAAAACTCAAAAAAAATAAAAAAGGACGTGGAATCATAGAAAATCATAGACTTCCTCCCTTCAGGCAAGAACTGATCCTTCTTTCATAGAGTCATAGAAAATTAGGGTTGGAAGAAACCTCAGGAGATCATCTAGTCCAACCCCTTGCTCAAAGCAGGACCACTCCAACCAGAGCTTTGTCGAACCAGGCCTTAAAAACCTCCAAGGATGGGGATTCCACCACCTCTCTAGGTAACCTGTTCCAGTGCTTTACCTTATTAGTACAAACTTACTAGTGAGAAAGTTTTTTCCTAATATCTAACCTAAACTTCCCTTGCTGCAACTTGAGACCATTGCGTCATCTGCCACCACCAAGAACAGTTTAGCTTTTCCTCTTTGGAACCACCTTGCTCAGTCTTCTCTTCTGCAAACTAAATAAGCCCAGTTCCCTCAGCCTCTCCTCATAAGTCATGTGCCCCTAACCATTTGCATGACCCTTTTCCTGTTTGTTCCATGCATTCAACTGTGTCCATACAAGCCACACAAGCTTCTATGGAGTGTAGCTTGTAGCTGAATTTGTGGTACCATGACAGCTGATCTTCTCATGGAAGGACTCAGAATTCATAAACGTTGCTCCAGATTCTGAAATGGTTAGCTACATAAGGCCAGATTTAATGTTACACAGTTTTACAAATACGTTTTCCCTTTCCATACAGTAAATTATACCTGGGCTTCGGGTAATAAGCTTGAAAACATACTGGGCACACCTACATGTGTGCCTGGCTGTGCAGTTGTTACTGTCAGTTGTAACCACTGGTACTGTGCAGTCCTGGCGCAGCATGGGTTGTTTCTGACCCGACTGTGCAGTAGCAATGAGGTATTGTGCAGTAGTTCGTTGCTACTGCGCAGTAGTGGAGGGATCATGGTTCCTGCCCGCTGATGCTATGTTGCTGTAGCAACAAGCTATGTTGCCATAGCTTGTCGCTGTGGCAACATAACAGTTCATGTAGATGCACCGACTGTGTGTATCATCCTTATGTGCATTCATGTGGAGTGATGTATCTTTCTTGAACATTTGAAGCCCTCTTCTAAAACATATCTTCAAAATGATAACAGAGGGGGTGTGTACACATCTAAGTTGACTTAAAGTAAGGCAACTTAACTAAGTCAACTTAAGTCAATTTAGTTAAGTTAAGCTATGTCAGAGCATACACACGTACAGCTCCTTAACACGGAGACAGCCATCTTGGGAGCCTTCCCCAGCAGTACCCTCTGGCCACCAGCTCAGAAGCACCTTAACTAATGCAACTCAAAATAATACACCTTGGAGATGTGTTATCTGGTGCTGCATTTAAGTTCCACATACCTCTGTATGCTCTGACAGTTAAGTCATCTTATAAAAGTTAAGTTAGTTTAATTATCAAAAAGTTAGTATGTGTGTACTCACCCTGAAGGGTTTAGTTACTCTTCAGCAGAGCTGACCAAGAATCAGACATCCAGAGCTCCTAGTCACCAAGCTATATGCTTTTGACTCTGTGCAGCATGTCAACTTTTCCTCTGCACAGGCCAACCCAGGACATCACTCCCAACTTCCACACTCACATATGATTTCATCCAAATTAGAGCATGTTAATAGGGTCACACCCCAGGGGCAGCTGTGATGCCTCCTGGTAGCCATACGATTCCTGCCCCACGCAGTTCTAAGGCAGTGTTTTCTAGGCCTGTGCGAATAGGGAAGTATTCAATTTGGATTTGCATTCAGAGGACAGCGATTCGATTCAGAGATTTAGATCACTGTCCTGAATTGATTTGGCTGAATCAGCTTGGGAAAATTCAGTGCTGATTTGGACAGATTCAGTGATTCGGATTCGCCGGGAAAAAGCAGGCGCAGCTGGGCAGCTCCTCTGGCTATGCCTGCCTCTCCCCAGGTGGGGGGAGCCGTAGGAGAAGCCCCCATGACTTCCCTGCCCGACTCCATCCCCCACCCAGCCCCAGCCTAGTTCCGGCACTTAAAAAAAAAAGCCCTGTACTCACTGGTTGCAGGAGCAGTGATTGGGTTCTCTGGGCGCTCATGGCACAGCCATCCCCGTGCAGTGCATGGCAGTGGGGATTGCCCCCCGCCCGCCTGGCACCCATGCGGCAACTGTGTCATGGTGCGCGTGCAGCATGGTTTGGCAGGATACTGCGCGCTGTCTGGGAGCTGAGGCCACTGGGGCTGAGTGGTGCCAGGCTCCAAGTGACTGCTGCAGGTGCCCCAGGTTCCAGGCAGTGCGTTACGCCCTGCCGAGCAACACTGCACCTGCACAATGTGACAGCTGCCACATGAGTGCCTGGTTGGGGGGGCGATCCCCTCTGCCCCCCATGCTGCACAGAGGGGCTCTGCCATAAGCCCTCAGAGGCCCCGAACACCACAGCCAGAGCCATTGAGTTTAGGGCTTTTTTTTTTTTTTTTTTTTTTAAGTGCCAGGAGGCTGGGCCAAGTTGGGGATGAGGCCAGGCAGGGCAGCCACGAGGGCTTCTCCCACAGCTCCTCCGGCTGCGCCTGCCTCTGCCCCAGTGGGGGGAGCCATGGAGGTTCTGCTCTGCTATTGCTTCCCCAGCCAGCGTGGGGGCGGGGTGGGCAGCAGGGCATAGCCCCCACTCCCAGTGCTGCCCTGCCCGCACCAGCACTGGGAGTGGGGGCTCTGCCCTGCTGCTGCTTGCCAGCCGACGCAGGGGGCACAGGATGCAGACGTGGCAGCACTGGGAGCGGGGGCTGTGCCCTACAGCTGCCTGGAGCAAGTCATGCCCACATACCAGCCCCCCCTCCTCCGGCTCGGCAAGCAGCAGCAGGGCAGAGCCCCCACTCCCAGTGCTGCCGTACCTGCAACCCACGACCCTTCTCTCCCCCAACTCCAACAGACTTACCAGCTGGAGTCAGCTATCAGCTGCCTGTTTAGTTTATGGCCAAGAATCTCTGAATCAGCCAAATCTTTTCTGAAGCTTTTCCAAATCAATTTGGATGCTTCAAATCGATTTGGAGCTTTTACTTGGTCTCCCGATTCAATTTGGATTCAGAGATTCAGTCCCTGAATCGGGCCGAATCTTCTCTGAATCAAGTAAGCTACCGAAACTTTGCATAGCCCTAGTGATTCCCAACCTTTTACAGCCCAAGGCACACTTACATCAACAAAAAATGTCCTTGGAACACCTGTTATGGCATTCCTCATCTCCATACTTATAAGCTCATTGTAGCTCATTGCTGTGGCAAAATTCCACAGCACAGCTGTTCAGAGGCTTGCAAACTCTGCATCCCCCACAGCCAACACATGCGCAGTAGATGATTTCCTTCTGCTCCACTGGTTCTCTCTCTCCCCCACAGCCAACACATGCACGAGTCTTCTGTAAATATCTCATCGACACGGCTTATTTGTTAGCACTAGGCAGCTGGAGAAGTTTCTTATTATTCCAAAATTCTCGCAGCGTACCAGGGAGCTCTTCACAGCACACTGGTGTACTGGGCACACTGGTTGAAAAGCACTACTCTAAGGTACCCACCCTTTGCTTTTTTCCTGCCATACATCTATTAAGAATAATCGAGGCAGAAAGGGAGACTGCTCACCTGTCTGAGAGCGAACCCTGGTCTGTTCCCACCAGTGGATCCCCCTCTCTCAGACCCCACTAATCCCAAACAGTCTTTCTTGTTCAGTAGGGCGGGCCCTCTTGGTCTGCACATGCCCTAGGGCACCTATCGCCTTATGGGCTACTCACAGCCTGTGACCTCCCTTACAGCTGTGCCCATGTTTCACAGATGTTCCCAGTCATAGAATCATAGAAAATTAGGGCTGGAAGGGACCTCAGAAGGTCATCTAGTCCAACCCCCAGCTCAAAAGCCAGACCATCCCCAACTAGAACATTCCAGCTGAAGGTTTGTCTAGCTAGGTCTTAAAAACATCCAAGGATGGAATTTCCCCAACCTCTCTCGGTAACCTCTTCCAGTGCTTTACTACCCTCCTAGTGAGAAAGTTCTTCCTAATATCTAACGTTAACTTATCTTGCTGCAACTTTAATCACCACTTAGATGGGCAGTTTGCCCCAAACACCAGGCCACCTCAGGCCTCCACTCCCTTGTTGGGGCCTCAACCTTCCAAGTCTCTGCCACCTGCTGTGGCTGGTCCCTTTAGCCTAGACTCACTACACTGCTCCAGCCCCTTGTCTCACCTTCTTTGGCTCCAGCTGCCTAGCACCTTCTTTGGCTGTTAACTTTGCCCTTCCCAGGCTGTGGGCCCCTGGCCTTAGGCTTAGCTCTTCTCTGGGCTGGGGCTCTCTAGGCCTGTCTCTGCCCCTCTTGGGCTGTGGGTTCTCTCACAGGCACTGGGCTCTTGGCTCTGTCTCTGTCTCTTTAGCTGTCTCTAGTGGTGGACCCCCAGCCCCGAGTCTCACCTTCTTGGGCTACACTGCAGCTTGCACTCTGCTCTGGCAAGCTACAGCCCATGTGCCTCCCTGGCACCTGGGACCTTCTGTCACCCCTACTAGTCCCAAACCAAAGCCACTGGTTAAAACTCAAGCAAAATGTATAAGCTCTCTGGCTCTAATAAACTCCAAGCCAACTGGCTGTCTAACAAGCTGGGTAGCTTGCCTTGGGTCCTGTCCCCCTTGCAGCAAGCATTCAGTGTCTTACTAGCATTGTCAGGGCATTTCAGGAGTTAGCACAGCTTCCCACTGCAGCTTTCCAGAGTAGGAGCTCTTCTCTTTGTAGCTAGCAGGGTCAGACTGCCTGTCTAGACTCAGGCACTGGCTTTAAGAGTCTCCTAAGCCCGGCCCCATCTGGTCATGTGACTGCGGGCACTCATAGGAGTTTCCCGTCGATGAATACCTGCCTGTTCCTCCTGGTAGGACTTAGCTCATTTGCCTGCAGCCTGTTTCTGGGCTGCTTCACTGACTGCCCTTGGCACATTTTACTACTCTGCCTCCATCCCCAAGCTGAGTTACCTTCTCATGGTTAGCCTCACAATCTAGTTTGTTTTCTGGCAGCCATTTTATTAGCAACTAGCTTGTTTCCCAGCTCCCAGTCCTCCCTGAGCTTAGCCTGCTCTACTTTCCTTTTAAAGTAACAGGAGCCTTCTGGCTCCCTTTTACAGAGTGCTTTGTTACTAAAATTTTTATATGAAAACAGAGGTTTTGCTTTAAATTCTCAGAATTCTCACTTACATGTGAAGTCAGAATTTCTACAGCAACCACTATGATGTAACGCATTATTTTGACTTTAAAATGAAATAGTTGCAGAAACAGATGAATTCCTGAGAAACAAAAGACCTGTTTTCATTCAGATATCTTTAGTAATAAAGAAAGAGGAAAACAACATTTTAAAAGCATGATCATTACATTACTGATTCTGCTGATCTTCTCAGAGTAACACTGCATTATGCAGCAGTAGTTTTAAAGAACCAGTGGCACTGGACCAAAATGATCTTAAGCAGTAATTAAGTACTCTGCTTTTTTGGCTAAAATCATTCTTTAAAATCTGTCTATAGGTCAGTGCATTTTAAAATAAATATTAATGCTTAAGACGAGATACCAACTATCAACGTTGTTGATAATCTAGGAAAAGAGAGTATCTTGCATTTACAAAATAAACAGGGTTGAGTACTGCTCTCAGTTACACAAATACAAAGTAACTCAATTTTCCTCAGTGAAAATATGTCAGAATATAGGCATGATACTATGGCATACTGAGTTCATATTTACTTCTTTGAGGGTCAAGATAACTTAGCACCTCAGAGAAGGCATTTATCTTGACTGAAGAATTTGCCCTGCAGACATTACTTATACTGGGGGAATTTTCCTAAAATCCCAAAATTGATAAAATGCAGCTTGTTTTTAAAAAAGGTTCTAGCAGATTATCCTTCTGACTGGTTTAGTCAAATCTTAGTTTTAAAACCCAATCTAGCCACCAGAATCTTGTTTACACTGAAACTCCAACTAATTCTATAGTTGTTTTTTTTCTAATTTTCTCCAATTTAGCCAAGTGTCCTTGAGTTATGGGGGCAATATATGAAACATTGGACTTGTCATTGGATACTCTACGATTGGTAGAAGGAGCAGGAGCATAGCTGACAATCATTAAAATTATTGTGAAAAAAAATTAATAAAATAAAGATGATCCTTTCTCTGAGATCATAGTCAGTCCTGAAAAATGTTATGTTATGGTATTTCTAGGTATGACAAAGTATCAAAAGTCCACATATCCCAATATAGCCTTGACACTGCACTGCATGGGCTGAACGTTACCATTAATGATTTTGCAGTATTAACAAACCAATGGCAAGACTTGAGTATAGCAGGAGTGACTCAGGAGTTTTTTTTTAAATTGACCAAAATCTGTTCTCATTTGCATTGGTGCAATCCCTGTGAAAGCAATAACTGAGGAAAGAATTTGACTGATAGGTATTATAGTCAACTTTCTTAACGGTAATGATAATGACTCATATGTTTATGGAAAAGTGGCTATTTCCCATAGGGACTGCTGTTTCAGTATCATGTACATTTAAAACCCAACAGTTTCCTTTGTTCACTATTTCTCAGCAAGCATGTCACCACAGAGGTAGTAGTTCCCATTCACAGTCCAAGTGGGGAGGCATATTGGCATGATATGGTCACTGTCCACATTTTTTCTGTTCTGTACATTAGACAGAGCATGACACTACTTAGGACTGGCAATCTGACATCTTTCACCAGAACAAAAACTGGGATAACTAAAGGAATTAAATATTAATGAATGTTTGTGAATATTTCAATGTAAAAAAGGAATGTTTTCATCTGAGTGTGGTATGGTGGTTTAGTTTAGGTTTTGATACCTGTACAACTACTTTCAGTCCAGAATATTGTTTTACAAACAAGCTCTGAATTCATACAAGTGACAATTCATCTTTTGTGCAATAAATTGTAGAGTCAAATGTAGGCTTAGGTTCAAATCCTACTTTCTTTACAGGAATAAACCTGTCTAAAGTCAGTGGTCTAGTCATATAAATTAAGGAAAGTAGGATTTGGGTCCTGATGTTACTCCAACTGAAATCAAGTAGCTCTGCCACTGGTTGTAGTGGCACTAAGGGGTGTGTGTGTTCTGTTAATTATTTAGCAGAAAAGCAAACATGTTACTAAACATCGGTAAAAATATTCCTACAGCTGTCAAGTAGTGATGATGCTCATTGGTGGATTGGACTAGGCTCAGAAGCTCCTAGTGATAGATTTCGGTAAGAATATACTGATGTGTACTTGTAATATACTGCTCTGTACTCCTGTTAATAGGTCTTGTTTAAAAGTTGCCCTTCCATTTGTTATATTGGCAAAGTACAGACAGTCAAAAAGCCGGAGGCTGAATTGATTCAGTCTTTGCAGGTTAATCTAAACTGCATACCAACTGATAAGCAAGTAAACAGACATTCACTTTTGACTCTGGAAATGCAGGCAGCCACATGCATGCAGTTGCCTAAGCCAGAAGTTAAAGGGGACTCTAGAGCACGGCTCCCTGCTTGGCTGAAACAGACAGCTTAGGCCAGGGCTAGCCTGCCCACCCTACAAGTGGGGGGAGGCTCGCGGGAGAGGTGCAAAGTATCCTGGGATGCTGGGGGAATGTGAGATAGTTGAACTTCTGTGCCAAATCTGCTCCAGGTTCAAGTTAACTAATTTAACCTAAACCAGTTAGGTTTGATACTATGTCCATCCAGCTTTATTTTCAAAATGGCTAAAACTGTTTTAAAACGGTTTATGTGCACTGAACTTCTGTTGTGTTACAGATTTGAATCAGTTTCCGAACACATACCAGTTTATATGCACTTTCTGTCCCTAGCCATTGAATTTGTTTTGAAGACTGAGTGCAATCTCAAGGATCAGTGCATTCTTATGTATTTAGAATCGATTACTGTTGTTTTTATACATATTATAGTATTTCTGCTGAAATGCATAACAGATATAACACAAACATGTGATTAGTTTTCACGTAAGTTAATTAAGGACATTTCTTAGCTTCCGTCTGCATGCTGCATTTATTAATATAAATGAATATATAAGTACAGAAATAGGTGAGAGCATGTCATTAATTATTTAACATTGCTATGCAGCTGGAGAAATGGGTTACCAGTAACATATCAGAATTGGAACAAAATGAGAGACGAATCTGTGCATACACAAGAAGGAAGATGTGTCTTCATGTCATCGCAGACAGGTCAATTTTGCATTTCCCTTTGTTCCATTAATGATAAATTAATCATTCTATGGGTCTGAAGGGGTTCTGATGGCTTTTTTGCAGACTTAGAGTAAGATTTTCTATTTGGCTAAAACAATAGAAATAATCTACTATGTAACTATTTTTTTTGATGTGTGGAATTTAGATAGTGACACTCCTAATACATGTTTATCACTAAATAATGATTCCATTGTGTAAAAAAGTAATAGAAAAAATAGTATACATTGGTTTAAAGTCCCTGTATATCTTAGAAATTCCAGCTTTTATATCAAAACTATAAATTGTCCAATCATGCCAGGAATCTTTAGTGCACACTAGAAGTCTTTTATCTGGAATAGCAATTGTGGGTATGTCATTTTTCATACTCAGTTGTTCATACCCATATAAATGATCCAGATAGACTTAGCACTGGGTTTTCATATTTTTGTACACTATTTTTACATCAACACAAGAATGTAGTAACCCAGCACATAAGCAGAATATTGGTCCTATAGCCAATTTGCTTAGGCATTGTGGGTAGAGTGTTTTGTTTATCCCCCTTGTCAGGCTTTCCATCATTCATTACTTGGATCTGTGTTTTGCTACTGTAAATAAAATAAGTTTACAATTTTGCAAACTCGTATGATTTTACCATGAATCTTGGAATACATGTTTTTCTTAAAGCACAAGATTCAGAACTCATATGAGAATCTCTGTTTTCGCTGCCAAATAAGTTTCTAGCCTTCATGACTAGCATAAAAAAAGCTAAAATCTATTATATTTAATAATCGTATGATTTTAACTAATGTCCTGATTTTGGCGGGGCTGACTAATGATTTTTTGAATGCTTGAGTTTGGCAGGTCAGCTCTAGATGAAGGGCTGTGTGCTTTTTGTAGCAATTTTATGAGTAGGTAGATAAGAAATGTGAACTGTGTAGCTTTGTGTTGTTACCTTGTAAAAGATGTCTTCTGGAGCAATGAAAATGTTACAGGTTATCAGGAGGGCGTATGGAGTGAAGGTCTGTGTATGGGACCATCAGGGCATAGGGGAGAAGGGAAATAGGGTACAATCTAGAAGTGGTCTTGGCCGGGAGGAGATAAAGGTCCAAAATGGAGGTGATTGGTTGGCCTTCAGGTAAGAGATTGGAAATGTGGGAGTGGAGGGAAATCTCATTAAAGTGGAAACAAGGAACCCATCTGGGAAAGGTTACTTAGACTGGGAGCAGTCACCTTGGGGTGATGCTGGCTGAACTATGGGATTAAAGAGCCAGGTTGAGCCTCTGGCTGGAATATGGAATCATGTAGGTAAGAGTGTGATTTACAGGTTGATGGCTGTAATAATACTAGAAAACAATAGAGGGTGCTAGAGAGCTGCTTCTGCTAGGAGCACTTCTGTAGGTCTGACTTAATACAAATACTTTTTTTGCTGGTTTTCATCAGCATTGGTGGAGTTCTGCTGGTTCATCCCTTGAACTTTCCTGAAATTTTGGAACTGATCATATTCAGCTTCTTAAAGTTTTTGTATTACATACGGATTTAAGCTGCACAAAGAATTTTGATAGAATTGTGTTCTATCACAGATCAATCAGGGTAATTAATAATGGCATCTCAATTTTAACAGTAGTTTATAGAACAGAGTTTTGTTTTGAAAATGTAGTTTTGATTAGTTTATTTTTTATTTAGATTTATATAGAATATTTTATTTAATGCATATACATTCATCTACTATAACATATTCGTTTTAGTATATAGTGCAACAAACGTATACATGCATGCATATCAGTTCTTTGTTCACTGCTGAAAGTCAAATGTGGATATTTTCAACACTTACACTAGAGCCCATTATAAGTTATACTTGTTGCTGTCTAAGGAAACAAATATCCATTTTGTCAATATGTTTCTGTATTACTGACAAATATTGTGCGCGCATTTAAATTTCATATAAAATCAAAGCAACAGGAATTGGAAGACAGCTATCAAAACAGAACGTTGTGTCTGAAATTCAAATTTTTATTGTCATTTTGCAGGAATTTTTAAATTTTGGCTTTTGTTCAGCCAATAAATCATAGTAATATTAACAATGACATCTAAGAGAAAATAATTTTCTGTCCTCAAATCAGTGCCACATAGAAGTTTTTCTAATATGAATGTCTAACCAACATTTCTAAAAAATATTTTCCATAGGACTCTGGGGGTATGAAAACTGTACTGTTTCTCTTCCTTGTATTTGTAAGCGTAAAACTGTATGGAAAATAGAAAGAGAAATTCCAAAAGATCAGAACCAGCAAGGAACGTGTCCCAAAGGTTGGCTGCACTTTGGAACCAAGGTGAAATAATATATTTTTGTTGTTATTGAACTATATAAAAATATTGCTGATTATTTAAAGATATAATTTTTCCTTTTGTAAACAAGCTTTTTAGGCATACAAAGATATGCTCTGCCCATGCAAATGCTTATGCTTATCAATAAACTTTACACAGTTTAATAGTCCCATTAACTTAGAGGGAGCTTTATATTTGTTGAGCAAAAAGGAATACTTATACCCATGAAATTATTCACATGTATTTGTCTATGGGATTTGGGGTCTTAGCCTGTTCCATACCTTCAGGCACAAAAAAGACATACACTAAGATGCCTTTTTAGAAATGTGATTTTAATACCAGACTGTATTTGATGATGCCCTGTATTTTTCGTTTTTTCACAAATTAGCCCACCACATTCTTACCAATAAATTCCATTAAAGATAATAATAAACCTTATTGCATTTGTACTCTAGAGTTGCAAGGAAATTTTTTCATTATGTTTAGCTAAACATATGCATTCTATAACATTAGCATAGACAAATGACTGACTAGATTTCTCCAAAATATAGACTATATAGACTTCTGGGACAAATTTGGTCCTGGTCCTGATCAGTGGGCACAGCCACATGAGACACTATGTCACCATAGCGATGAGCTATGGTGCGGTAGCTCATCGCTATGGCGACATAGTGTAGGCAGGCACAAACCGTGACGCCTGTGCTACATTGCCTTAATGACAAGCTATGTTGCCATAGCTCATTGCTATGTCAATATAGCCTCTAAAAATAACCATGTGCCACTAGGACTGCGCAGTACCGGCTCATACTGCACAGTTATTTAGTATTAGCAAGTACTAAGTGACTGTGCAATACCAATGTACAGTCAGGGGCACGTGTTAGATGCACCCAGTGGTGACTGCAAATTAATTCCAAGAATGTAGAAGTGATGTGTTGCAGAGTTGAAAGTAAATGAGGGTTTACTTTTCAGTGAATTGGTTCTATATGAATGCTTGCATCACAGTATTTGTGACCGAGCTTATTCTGATTCTCACTTGTGCTGATAGTTTTAGTAGAGATGTGTAGACACTGAAAGAGCATGTATGCCCCACTGTCCTCTCCCTCTTTAAATAATTGGTCCCTCTGCTTACAGTTTAAGCCAGTAATTCTCAACTAGGGTGCTATGAGATCTTTCCAGGGGTGCTGTGGGATGCCATGCAATGTTAGCACTGTTAGGTGTGCAAACATGACACAAGATAAAACTAACAGTTTCAAATAAGAATATATAGGATTAAAAATATTCTGCCCTATTGTGGTTTTTCTGAGTTCTTGCAACATAAAAATTGCTGTGTCATTTTTCCGTAGTTTAAAATAAAAAAAAATAGAGTGAAAGCTAAGGGCTGGCATTTTCCAGGTAGTGGCTTGAGTCTAATAACGGGTGCCTCAAGTCTAAAATGGTTGAGAGCCACTGGTTTAGATAGGCAGTGGCCTGCTAGTATTTCTTGTACTTATTCTGTTATTAAGTAGAAGAATATGATATGTAGGGTTGTTGGTATGGTACTTCTAATGATCACCAAACTCATCTAATATGTGAAAAATAAATATTTTCTATTTTTGGGGAATAGTGCTTTTTAATACAAATTCCAAAGGATCCAAGTCAGCTCAGAAGTTGGTATTCTGCCCAGGAATTCTGCAGTAAATCTGATGGGTCACTCGCTTCTATTGGAAATGAAATGGAGCAAGGTACAGTTTTGAAAATACTATAAAACATCAAGTGTGAGATTGTATTTATTTGTGTTAAGACATAAAGTAAAATCAGGAATAAGGAATATGTATATTCCTAGTCTTGCCTCTGCCATTTTCTCTGTGACTTTAAGAAATAAAAATGTAGGATTTTCTCAAATTTCCACAACGGTAAAATGAAAATATTATTTCCTTGCCCACCGCAAGATGTCTTTTGCAGATTAGATGTTTCAACAGCACTTCTTGCCAATATGCTGAAGTGATGAATAAATGAAAGTGTGAAAGATAGATGGATACATAATTAAAGTTTGGTTATAAAATTCTTACATTATGAGTATAACAAAATATCCCAATACCCGTCTTATTAAAAATAACCGTGATAGATGGAAAAATACTATCATGGATACGTACATATAGGGTTTCACATCTGATGTGCATTATACTGGTTGCCTTTTCTTTGACTCCAGTGTGGACTGATCAGCAGAGGTGTAACTACATTTTGCACCCTGACCCAATGTTTCCCAAAGCTGGCGTATTTACACCCCACTGTGGTAAAGTTGTGCACTCTTGCATCCCCCATTACAGCTGTCATTGCTGCTGCCCTTACCACTCAGGTGCCCATGCTGCCATTTCCCCTCACCGGCAACAATGGGCAGCAAGGAGTTTGATGGCAAGAGAAGTGGCAGTAGGGGTCTGCCCATCTCTGGATACAACTGCTTCTACAGCACAGTACAGTGTCTCTGCAACCAGCTGCTGCTGCTGCTGCCACCCTGGCACATATTCCCCAGGGGGCCCCCCATTTGGTGTAAGCTTCTAGTAGGTACTTGGGGCTGATGCCTCACTCGCCTACCCCTAGTTATAATGCTCCAGATCAGTATATCACACTCCTATATTTATGGCATGCTTGGTATATTCTGTTCATTCAAGTCTTGGAAATTTATTATGTTTGTAGAGTTGCTTTGTTAGTCTAAAATCTAGCCTCCCAACTTTGCCTTAAGTAGTTTGTAACCGCTCCTTACACCACACCCAGGCCTTGCAGATATTACCAAATAATGGCCTTGATGGACATTTGGCCCCAATCTGATACCAGGCCACCTCAGGCCTTTACACCCTTGTTGGGACCCTATCTCCATCCCTCTTGTGCACCGGACTCCCCCTGCCCACAGATCTGCCTCCCCGGGCACTGGGCCTCCTGGCCCTTGTCCAAGCTAGGCTTCAGCCTTTCTTTCTCTCTCTCCAGACTTGGATCTTCCTCCTCCAGTCGGAGCCCTGAATCAAGTCCCCTAGCAGGGTTCTGAACACTGGCACTCCAGTGTGGGCTAAACCTCCAGGCATCCTGCCATAGCCTCCACTCACTCCCCTTTCAGCTCCTCCCAAACCACTGGTTGAAACTGTAACTCAGAAGTAAGCCTTCTTGCAAACACAACTAACCCCCCCCATAAACAGTGGCTACCTGCCTGCATAACAAGGTTTCCTCTTACCCAGGCACCAGCATTCTGTTTGCCATCTTCAAACCAGCCCCAGTGTCAACAAGCAGAGCTCCTGTATTCCCCTTACTCTGAAGTTATTGCTTCAGCCACCTCCCGGGCCAGATTGCCCCTCCTGGCACAGGGCCTGTATTTACATACCTCCCTGGCCCTGCCTCCTGCTGGTCATATGCCTCCCCGCTGCAGCTGTTTCCTGATTCAGCCTGCTGGCTCAGCCTCAGGGGGACTTACTGCTCTGGACTCTGCTGTGCTCCTATGAAAGGCTGTAGTCCATGCTGCTACCACAACACTGCTACAGTAGTTTGGTGGTAAGTGGTTACATCAGGCAGCTCCCCCCAATACCTGGTAGCCCATAATAGGCAGCTTTCCCCACCTGAAGCTTTATCTCCTGCTCCTTTACCCTTCAAGTAACAGGAACCTTTGGCTCTGTTACACAGTTTAATTTTTAACTACAGTAGAGAAATACATTTTCTATGAGACATGTTAGTGATCAAAAAAAACCCCAAAATGTTCCAAATCCTGTGATAAGCTCTCCAAGACTTGCTAGATAATGGGCTTGAACATAACTCAGTAAATAACGCTGAAATTAAGAGTACGTAGAGTACATAGAAATGAAAAGCAATTAATGCCATTACTTTTAAATAGGAAAAATAATTATAAAATGGTACTGATTAGTAATCAAGATTTTCCATAAAGAGATTTCATGTTCATCCAAATGGTTTTCAGTAAATTGTTTAATATTTTGTTCCTGTCTCCTTTTCCAGCTTTTATAACAATGAATCTGTTTAGACATAAGACTAATGTTTGGATAGGTCTGAAGGGTGATGATTATATGAAAATGAAGACAGAAAAATCTGAAGCATACTCCAACTGGTCTCCAGTTGAAGTAATCCATGTAAGTCTCGATATGGGTTTTGTGGACATGAGTAGTTGTTTATCTGTAAATAGAAATCACAATTTCCAAAACAATAGGATCTCAACCTCCTCTCATTTTGTTCTTGTTATTGTTAACTGTAGGAATAGTTTCACAAGCAAAAGTAAACATGGGCAAAATGCTGCTGTGTAAGCACAGTTATGTGATTTATCACTGCTCATGTATTGCCACTTAGGTCTACAAAATTTGGGGACAAAGACAGTTTTTTTAAAACCCATCCCAAAAAACACCAGGGAAACAAAAATATCAATACATTTATTGTACTGCATATTGCTTTATGCTTAGCGGAATATATATTTTGTTTAGGATTTTAGTTAATCCTGGTCTTACATTTTTTCACCTAAAGTAGCCAAATGTACTGTATTATTTCAATTTTTAATTATTCTGGTATATATTGGAGTTTTATTGATGTGCCTAATGCATGCTGTTTTTCAATGAATGTCAACATGGTTAATATTCTGCATCCCTTCTCTAGTAAAGATTTTATTTTAATGTTGTTATAATTGAACAGTTTTTTATAATTAAGTCATATCTTTTACAGGGCCATCATTTTAAGATATCTAATATCCAAGAAGATGAATTGTGTACTTTGGTATCAAATAACCCTAATTTTTATTTCACGGGAAAATGGTACTTAGAAAGTTGTGAGAAAACTAATGGTTTTATCTGTCAGAAGACTCAAGGTAAGAATTTGTTCCTGTTTTGTTCTCCTCTTGCCCTCTCCTTTTTAATTAGCAACCTCACTTTGTGCAATGTTGTATAGAGTTGTATAAATCACAGAATGTGAATTACCTCTTATATGGTTTCACTTCAGCAGTCTAAAATCTAAAAAATATTGGCACTATATCAGGCAAATCGGCACAAAAACAATACCAAAAATACCTGCAGTTGTATAAATTAATTCTTCTTCCTTGTTTCTGATCATACACCCATTGAGTCAGAGAGAGCAAAGTGTGGCTTCTAACTTGAAGTAGTGGAATGAAATTAGAAATGACAGAATTTAGGCTAAGATCTTAGCCTAAACAGAATTTTAGCCTAGACAGAATTTAGGCCTAAGATCTTCTGAGATACTGAGCATATGAGACTTTTAAACCTAGGTAAGATTTACACCAAGAAAAGTATTCTAGAGGTGAGAATCTAGACAGAGAAAGAGAGAGAATGGGCAATCTAAATAATCATTCTTCTTTCTTGCTTTTATGATGTTGTTACCATCATGCTTGTTAGCCATAAAGCAGAAAGATATTATCATATTTACTTGCATACACATGTACCTTTACCCAAAAAAATCAGCCTTTCAAAATTGGTGTGTGGGTGTTAAAGCAGAGAAGCTGATTTTCTGTGAGCAATAGATGTATAAAGAGCTATAATTAATACTGGGTTGTCCTTCTCTCCCAGCCTAAGAGGGAGGGACAAAGTGCATGTCACAGTTAATTTTAACCTGTTCATAACTGCTACTAAACTAACAGTAGCCTTTGACCCCTAATGTCCCTGCCTTATGCCATGTACCAGTGAGCTCATCCTTGACTTGTGAGAGAGAGTATAATTTCCTCCTCTCGAGACGATAGGCCTCATAGTTTTATATGTATGTTACGTGAATGCAAAATGTCCTTTTTACATTTGTGATTCAAAACCATATAGCATTTTTATGAACATAATTATCAGATAAGAAACTTTGGAATTTTAACCACTTCTGAGTCAAATAAGAGACCAGGAAGGACTCCTATACAAGGGGTGAGTAATGAGACCATCCCACTTTAAAGAGTGGTGAATGCTGTGAATGACATTAATAGTAGCATTGAAGGAGCTACTCTATGTTGGGTCAGCGTTATAAATCCAAATCTTACACTCAATTCCAGATGGTAAATGGCCAAAGATAAGATTGTGATACTTCATTTTACATCTTTTCAGGGACATGTAGCAATCACCATTGGGCTCCTGCAAAGACTGCTCAGGCCTCAATCTAAGCTCTGCACCTGTTGCGCTTCTAGAGCAAGTGGAAAAGGCTGTACACATTACACAGACAGTGCAATTAAATCATTACAAGTTTGTTGCTTTTACAGGCTAGCAGCAAATTACTAGTCTCAGATTAAGCAAAATACAGGACATTGTGCTTCCATGTGATGTTTCTGAAGTGAAGTACTTAGTACCTACTCCTCTGTGGCTCAGCTAGCATACCCCTCTTGTTCAAGGCTTTGTCTAAAGTAACCTCATTGTAAGCTAAATAAATGAATGAGTGTGAGTAGAGACATATGTTCCAAATTAATAAGTGATGGGTACTGCACACATTCAGGGACTCATGAGGCTTTTCTAGCACGGAACACTTCTAGCAAGTATTTTGTTATGAAGCAAAGCCATAGGCATTGCTGAAATAATCCTGCTTGTGGAACAGAAAACAAAAAAAGCAATAGATTTGGTTTCCTACCAAATATTTATATTTTGATTCTTTGATTACAACACTGCCTTTTTAACTGGTTCACACAGGGTGCGTCTTCATGTGCTATTAATATGAAGCAATAAATTCTGGCACATATTATGCCAAAGTTTATTGCTCATGACTGCACTGTTTGAATGTGTGCCCAGGACCACAGCACATTAAGCCAGGTTGGAGCCCTGGTTACCAGGGCATCTTGGGGGTCAGCCTGCCAGCCCAGAGCTGCTCCTACCCGGCTCAACTTGCTGCAGAGGGACTGGCTGGGGCATGAGTGCAGGGCTCCAGTACAAGGTACACAATGTAGCACCCTCATGCCCCAGCCAGCTGGGTCAGTGTCTACACATGTGGTGCATAAAAATCCCTGCAGCAGGATAGTACTTATACTGAACGTATACACAAGATGAATTAATACTCATAAACCTAATTTAATGTGTAATATGGGCATGCATCTACATGTGTAGGTCAGCGTTTTAAATCCTTAATGTGCATTAAATTAGCAAAATTAGGCTAATCATGCCTAAATTTGATGCCTGCAAATACTAATGTGGAGCTAATTAGTTTACAGTTGAGCTTACCTGCAAATGCTAATGTGGAGCTAATTAGTTTACTGTGGAACTAATTTGTCTACTCTGCAGTAAATATCTCATGAAGACATGCCCACACGTTGCAAAGTCTTTGCCAAAAGCCCCGCAAGTGAAAATAAGTTGCATTGCAGATGAGATGTCATGTTAATGTGGACTACCTAGAGTTTCCCAGTGGTTGTTATCCAGGAGACTCATTGAAGGGTCCATTCCTTGTCTGCTTCTCCCACTACCAAAAGCTTGTTCAGGTTTTCCCGGTCAGAGAAACATGGATGCCACCTATTTTCCCTAGCCAAAATCTGAAACTGCAATCCCTTGGCACTGCTGCCTGAGGCCTGGATGCCCTCCGTGTGCTTCCAAACTTGTACATCTCTGCTTTTCTATACAGTGACACTGACCATAACTTGCTGATAAATTTCATGTGGGAGGCTGAAATGAACAGGTCAGCATGGGGCCTTAGCCATGCTTTAAATGTCCCTGTTTGTGCTGCTGAAGCTAGGATTATGTCAGCATTTCAATATTAAGATCCATTGTCACTGCTTTTTTTGTTCTAAAGTGACTGTGCATGGGTCTGCAAATTAATATATAAAAGCTCAAGTCAGCTGAGGGGTAGAGATTTCTTTATCCAAATATTCAAGATATCTAGAAATGACTAAGTGGAAAATAATCCATGAATTATAAAAAAAAAACCACATTATTATTTTAAAACCCATTTTAGTCCTTGTACTCTGAGTCCATAAATGGCTTTGACTTAATACAGTAAATATGTTTTAGCAAAGCACTTGTTTCATTTTACTGCTAGTGTTTAGAGAGACAAATTACTAACACAGACTGACAGGGGCTATTTTTGGACATACCATATCAAAATTCCATATACATTAATGAAACTACCTAACTGCTGTCTCCTATGGATAATGAATGTAGCAACAGCATAGAAGGCATGTCTATACAATCTCCATAGAGAACATGAGACTATTGCCAAGAAACAAGCCTCACTAATTTGCTTCTGCTCCATCTGTGGCACTTGCCAAAAAACGTTATTTAGTCCCTTTTTTGTATTTACTTATGAATGCTCTTGGAATCTCAGTCTCAGGTACACATGAGAGAAGTGGTGGGCAGAGATAATTTTTTATTAAACTTAACAGCCATAGGCCCCTGGCACACATTCATTTAATGGTTTAATGATTCTCTTCCCCTATTCCAACAATCACACCTCCTGGCATGCCACACTTGCATGGTCAGAATGCATGGTTTTAGGATCAGAGATTAAATCTCAGATATGCCACTTCTATGTGTCATCATGATCCTGGGCTCCCCATGAACTGGCAGTTTGAAAGCCAGGTTCCTGGTGAACTGGTGTGGTCCTGTGGCTGGGACTGACAATCATCTGATGGTTGGTTCCAGCCCCAGGACCTCAATGAAGTCCCCAGATGGTTCCAGAGTAGTCCCATGTCTGGGATGCACAAGCAACTTATTGTCAGTCTCAGCCCTGGGGCTGCACTGGAGCTAGTTCAGGACTCCTTTGGGGTCCCAAGGCCAGAACTGGCAACGAGCTGATTGTTGGTCTCAACCCTGGGAGCACACCAGAGCCATCTGGAGACTCTGCTGCAGTTCCAGGGCTGAGGAAGTTATCAGCCAAGCCCCTCTATGCAACAGCATCAGGGGGACCCTGCTACAAGTTCACTTTAAAATGCAATAGAAGACAGCCACAATATTTTTACACATGTGGAACAATTTTGTGGCTGGTTTCACATTTTGTGGCATCATTAGTTGCCTGAACTTGTGGCCAGGTTACTATTTAAGATGTGACTAACCTGTTAATCACAGCTGAAGTGTGACAGCTGCTAGGGGCCATAGAGACTTAAGTCTTCACCCACAGAAGAATTTCAGTATTAGGAGTAGCCATGTAAGCTTCCTTGCTACACTGCCTGTCAATGTCAAGTCCCTACAGCTAAAATGTGACACACAGAACATCACATTTACATAACACCACTAAGCTCATGGCACTGTATATAGAACTGTGTATATGGCACATTACAGCTACTTACAGAAGGATTGAGGTTCACTGGTTGTAGAAGTTTGGAACACGCTGAGGTTTGAATACTTGCCAGCCTCTATAGATTGAGTCAGTGGAAGATCTTCAGTTCAGTGTTTCCCTCTCTGTAGAGCAGCAGTGCTCAACCATTTTGGCCAGTGGGCCAGATTAGTCCGTGGGCCATATCTGGCTGGTGGTCCTGAACCAGTGCCCAGGACAGGTTGTAGCAGCATCCAGCCATGTGGGGCCTAACCTTCATCCAGTTACAAGGGGTAGGGAGCATGGCCCAGCTGTGGAGTAAAGGGGGTGTAGTCAAGCCCCAATCCAGCTGTGGTGGGGGAGAGGGTGTAACCTGGCTCCAACCCACCACATGTGGCTTGGGGTTTGGGAATTTGGCAGTGGGGCAAGATGGCAGTGCCACTGCTCCCCTGCAGCCAAATTCCCTAACCTGTGAGGAGCCTCACAGGCCAGACACCATGGTCCTGCAGGCTGCATTTGACTTGCAGGCCACAATTTGAGTACCTCTGCTGTAAAGTAATAAACCCACTGTTTTGTATATCTTTTCAGCCCCTAACCTTATTGGAATTTAAAACTGAGTACCTCTTGCTGTAGTGTTTCTTTTTTTTTAATTTTTGCTACAATGGTGTGATAACCTCTAGGCACCACGATACCAGTAGGCTTTGAATGGGTATATTGTTTTCACAGGAAACTTCTCAGCTTTGAGAAGTGGTAAGTTATTTAACTGTTGTCTGCTAAAGGAAAACATCTGATGGTGTTTCGTTTGACCTAACACAGATAAATCCAGACGTTCTATAAATGGATCTGAGATGTACCCAATACCTGGCACTTTAGAATATGGAAACAAAACATACATACTAATATATGAGAATTTGACTTGGTATGATGCTTTAAAATCTTGCATGGCAAAAGGAGCTGAATTGGTCAGCATTACAGATCATTATCACCAAGCCTTCCTCAGTGTCGTTATAAACCGACTAGGATATCCCCACTGGATTGGACTATTTACCTCAGATGTAAGTATGAATTCTGTGCATATGGATATGAGACTGTACATGAGTTTTTGACATTTACTAGTAAAACTTAATAAACTGTAACAAAAAAAAATGCTTAGCATTTGTTTGAAATGATTGAATTTGTAAACACAGATGAGCTTATATGAACAATCCAATATGAATATCCCTACACTTTGGGAAAGTTTGGATCTAAAATGGAATTCCACTATTCAGCTTAGGCCCATCTCTTTGCAACACAGCATACAAGCTTCATTAAAGTCAGTTGCTGGGAGCTTGGTATCAGCACTGCCTGATGGGATGCTGCAATCATACTGCAGGTCAAATGCTGACAGGACTGAAAAGAGAGCTGAAAAACGCTCAGAGGAAAAAAGCTTTTTTGTGGCGAGTGGCTTAAGCTTCATTCTTTAATACAGGGGTACCCCACCCTCCACCTGCAGGCCAAATCCAACCCTCAGTGCCAGGCCATTCAGCCCGTGGGGCTCCCCATGAGTCTGAAAATTTGGCAGATGGCACAGGGGAGCATCACAGGGCCCTATCTGGCATGTGGTGCTTGGTAGAGGCAGCTAGGGGCCTGATCTTGGTGCACAGGGCCTGATCTGGCTCATGGACCAGCCCCACACCACTCATCTGGCCAAGAGAGCCAGAAGATCGAGTACCCCTGCTTTAGCACTTTTCCATGGTGAATAGTCATTTTATTTGGAGTAACGGCTCAATTGATAAGTTAGGATTTCTGATGAGTACATAGCAAGGAACTTTTGGTAACTTTGGCTTAGGACCCTGGCTTGGAGGAGGAAAACCAGAGGTAGCAGACCTTGCGAAAATAAAAAGATCTCTTATGTAACAGGACCACACAGAGAAATAATCCTATTTTTTTTCTGCAGAGTGGACTTAACTTTAAATGGTCAGATGGAACTAAGTCTTTCTTTTCCTTCTGGAGAGAGGAGGAGTCCCAGTCTTTTGGCAGCTGTGTTTTTGTTGATATTAATGGGCACTGGGAAAGTGCTAACTGTGAAAGACGTCTACAAGGAGCCATTTGTCATGTGCCAAATAGTAAGTCAATATTATATTTTATATCAAATTGTTGCAGCTACAAATTTACATTTACACATTGGAAGTATATGAAATGAAGTTGTCTGGCCTAGGCTTGACCGGTAATTATATAATAAATGAATTAATTTACACCTAGAGATATCTATTAAACTTTTCCTTTATTGCATCACCCCTATCTGAAATATTTTAAAATAATAAAATATTGGCTCTTTGGATTCAGGGGAGAGTGGAAAGAGTACATCACTGCCAGGAATTAAAGAGGCTTGCTTGTTAGATTTCTTGGATTGAGCATGAAGTATAGTATATTTTACAAAGACTCTAGAGAGGATGACTTAACAACTAATGACTAAACCCCTGCCTGGATTTCTGGGAAGCAAACCACAGGTTCAGATTTGTGCATGGATAACTTACATCTGAAGTAAATACATTGAGTTCTCTGTAGTTTGCTGTGTGCTTTTGAGCAAAAATGAAAAGCTAAAGTCCCCAAGTTGTTTAGTCAGAAAAATATCACAGCTTTTTTTTAATAAGAGAAAGAAAGCATTTGCTTCTCTCCCCAAAAATTGTGTTGTCCCTAAAGGTGGTATGATGCACCTAAACCTCACATAAATCCAGACTCTAGGATTTAAATGGTATACAGGGCCTTCTGCAATCACTCTGAACTGAGGTAAACTTTAGTCCTGCAAATAGTTACTGCTAGGTTTAATTCTGATTTATGAGCAAGGGTCTCATTTCTTCAGTGAAACTATTTGATACTTCTTTTGCAGTATGAGGCCTGGAGATCATAAATGTATCTAGATTTTGGGAAAACTGCTTTGGAATCCTTCAACACAGAAAGTATTTATTAAAGGGATTTTTTGTAATAGAAGTTGTTCCAGTTTTCTAATTATTTATTCAGTTACAAAAATATATCTGGTATGTGGCTGGGAGCCCAGATCAGCTGACAGGGCTCCCAGCCATGGAGCTTGCTACTTGCAAGTACAGGGGGAGCCCAGGATCATGATCCTGAGCTCTCCCTGCGCTGGCAATAAGGCGCAATGGGATTTGATGTTTGTTCCTAGAGTCATGCCTCCTACTATGCATGTGTGGCATGGCAGGAAGCATGGTTGTGGGGATAGTACATCAGATCCTATCATGCCTTTGCTTACATTTCTGCCAGGGGTCTATGTTGAGATCTATGGTCCACTAAAAAAATAAATACTGATCCCTATGCTCACTTTTGGACAAGAGAGGCCTGCTCAGGTTTAAAATAAAGGGCAATTGGATCAGTGTCCTAAGCATTATGTCCCTTGTGGATAGGGTTCTAAGGCTTTCTCCCCTTCTGAGTCCTTCTTCACAAAGTTAACAACATACTAGTCAAGTTAAATTGGCTTGTGTGCGCCCACACTTCCTTGCATGGCTTAGTTCAATTTAGCTTACTCCTGGAAAATAAATAAATAGTTAAATAATAGTTGTAAACTGAGGATTTATACAATTCTTTTACAATTCTATTTAGTGAATCAAGGGTTTGGATTATACAATATATAACAGTGAAATATTTACTTGCTTACATGCATGTCAATGTTATGAAATTATTAGTAGTGTTATTCTGAAATGATTTGGTGGATGTTTAACAATAGAATTAATAAACACTATTTAACCTACACTATTTTTGTTTTATAGAAAAGAAAATAATTGAATACAAAGGCCTTTGTTCAGAAAAAACTGTCCCCTGGTTAAAATTTAAAAACAATTGCTATAGCTTTTCCACGGTTTTCAAGAGTACAAGTTTTGATACAGCATATGAATCCTGTAAAAAGCAAGGTAATTTGTAATTAGTTTTTCTCTAACTATACAATTTAACATAATCTTCTTCCTAAATGGCAAAAGTGGATTATCTGAGATGAAGTAATAAGAGATGCCCTTTCCATGTTATTTTTAAAGATATTGTCATATTCCATTGTTTTCTCTTCAAATTGTATAAAAAATCATGTGATTTCAGGTGTAAAGCAGAAAAAGGATTTCAGATTTATACATGTTATTGTGAATTTAAAAGTCATTTACTATAACTATACTTACAAATCTTTGGCAGCCCCTCACAGTCGAGAATGATTGTCTTCCATCATTGTCTTATCTGGGCATTCTAGGCCTATCTGGGATCTACAGACTCTTCTGTAGCTCAGACATGTGTTTCCATATGGAGTGGGTGGCACTGGATTCTTGATTTGGTCTGCAACACACTGTTTCTGCCGCTCCTGCATCTCAGATGTAAACTGATAATATTAAAGTTTTGTAGTTCAGTATGAAATATATGCAGTATTTCTTATCTTTTGCAGTAAAACTGCAAAAAGGAAAAATGTTGCTTCCATATAGGGTGCAAAAGCAAAACAAATATCTTGTATAAAAATATGGGCTGGCATTTTGAGAGGGACTAAAAGAAGTTAGCTGTTCCTCTTCTCCCAAATTGCAAGACATGTTAAGCAACCAGTTCCCTAAGGCTCATTTGAGATATTTTACTTGTAGGATTATGGATGCAGGAGGAGGAGGTTATTTCCCAGTCTGGCTAGGAGATTAGCATTCAAAAAATGTGCCTTATGTTCTGCAAATGGTCACAAGTGAAGGAACTTTATGTGTGTTTCATCTACAGGATCAAATCTTTTAACTATTAAAGATGAAGATGAAAATGCCTTTCTTCTAGAGGAACTGCACACTTATGGTTCTTCTGTCCAAATGATTTGGTTGAACATTCTCTTTGTAAAAGACAGTAAGTGACTGGGAAAGAAAATGGCATATATTAATATAGGAATGTAATTATGTTTCTTAGTTTAGTGCTGATAACTGCATAGCAGAGCATTCTTAGTATTGTAAACAATGTCAATTTAAGATGAGACATATATAACTACATTGCTTTATAGCTGTAACTTTTAAATTACAATGATTATACATGCATATACATACATATTTTGTCATTTTTTTTCTTAAGAAGCAATAAAAGTATCCAGGGTAAGGGAAAATCCAATATATGCTTTTAAATATCCTTTCTGTAGTGTTGGAGTGATGTTGTAGCTGTAATGGTCTAAGAAATATACAAGAGGCAAGGATTTCTGTGGGTGATATCTTTTTTTAGACCAACTACATAACTTGGATAGGCAATACCAATCTCGTAAGGCACGCTGGATGCTAGATTTGAATACTAAGTGACAATTAGTTGTAAGAGAGCTTTATCTGTGGATGTTATTGCCATGATCTTAATCTGTTTGTGGAGTCAGAAGCTCCCTTGAGATCTACAAAGGCCACATGCAAATGATTTTGTCTTTTAACATATTTAGATTAATAAAATTAAATAGCACAACAACACCAAGCAGTTCTCCATGTGGGGATAGCCTGTTCTAAAACCTGCCTTTTCCCACATTATTTTCAGAGATCCATGTCTGAAGATGAAAAAGTAAATCTCTCTCAAGTATTTTGGCAGTAATATACATAAGACTAATGGAGTAAAAGAAGTAGGACTTGAAGGTACCTCCCAGGATCATCTAGTTCAACCCCTTGCCTTAGGCAGGATCATCCCTATCCAAACCAAAATCAAAAGCTTGTCACATATCTATCTAGATCAAAATTCTATCTCAGCCATGCAGTTGGTCCAGTAAAAGATATCAATCACAAAAATCCTGGCCTTCCTTTTTGAGTCAGAATGTAAACTATTGGTCTAATAATGTTGAAGTTCCTTAAGTAAAAACATATTTTACAGGCATGAGTTTTACTGAACTTAAATTCTTGTTTCAAAATCAGTGCATTTTTAGATCAGAGCTTACAGCGATTGATTATTTTTGCCCTTAGATGACACGGTTGCATGGTTTGATGGTTCTCCTCTAAATTATTCAAACTGGGGCATCAGGGAGCCTGAACTAAGTCATCTCAAAGGCAATTTTTGCATTGCTTTGAGGACCAGAGATGGAGTATGGCAGTTAACTTCCTGCAAAGAGAATAAGGGATTTGTATGTAAAATGGATACAGGTATGTGTTTATGTAGAAGAAATCCTTATACCATTGTGATATGCACCTTCTTTCCTCTTTACTTCACTTAGCCTTCATTTCAACAGTGTTCAGTTAATGGCCTTGAATGGCACTGCACCCTCAGTGCCATTGTAAGTTTCCTCATATTTCTCCAGTCCTGTTAAGAAACAGGCTCAGCACCATGAAGCCTGTAGCCAGAAGCCTCCTTGATTCTTGGCACCTATAAATAAAAAGGGTATTTATTTATTTATTTTTAAGCTGATTTTCTGTTCCCTTTTATTAGGCAAGAGAACCTAAAAAAAATAAAGAAACGAAGCAGCCCACAATAGACATTTCAGTTATATTACTCTATTTTTTCCTAAAGATTTTGGATTACTTTGCAGAAGACAAAATGCCAATCAAGATTTGCCTATCAGAATCCACAAAATCTTTAATCCTGGTCATGTTATTTTGAGCGGCCAATTTGGTCCCTTACTCCAAGGATATCTTGCTCAATAGCACGAGAGAGGACCTGGTATGATGGCCTAAGCAGAGCATGTTCTGAGCTTATCCATGAATCTCATCCTGATGATAGTCAAATCATGTAACCTTTTTGGCTTCAACTTCCCATTAGAAAATATGCATATATAATACTTTCCAGAGATGCACTGCCATTTAGCTTGTAAAATGCTACTATGTAAGTATTAAAATTCACCAGAGTATGCACACAACCTTCCAACAGCTTGCTTGAAGAATTCTGCTTTGAAACACTTTATAATGTTTAACATTTTGCATAGATTCTGCTTTTCACTTTTACAGTAAGAGACTTCCTTTCCCCTTTTTAAATTGAATGAATAGATGCAACCTAAGTGATTACTCAGTGAACCTTTCCCTGTATCACTTTAGATATAATGCATAACATTACTATATGATCATGAGGAGCTGGAGTTTGCACTGAAAATACTGGAGAAAATACTGGAGAACTGAAAAAAGTATTTTTTAGACGTTCCAAAATGCTAAAATTAGGGCCAGATACAGACATTGCACATAAACTGGTGTAAGTGACTGAAAACTGGTCTAAACCCATAACAATACAGAAGTTCAGTACACATAGAACAGTTTAAAAATGGCAGAACAAAGTCTAAGATAGACCTGGATGGAAATAGTATCAGACTTAAGTAATGTAGCTTAGACAGGTTTATTGAACTTGTGTATCAGATCCCCTCCTAACTCAAGTTAGGTTGTAGTCCACTAACATCGCAGGCACCATTGCGGCCCCTCTTCCTCCCCCACAGAGTTCTGCTGGAACTCGGCTGCACTTGGCTGCTCCTAGCTGTCAGCCACAGGTGGGGAAGGGGGCAAGGCAGGGAGCATCTGTAGCTCAGGAGGTTTCTATCTTTATGCAGCATCCCTAGGCGGGGAGGTGCGTTCTGCAGAAAGAAGGATTGGGCCCTTCAGAGCTCTGGCAAACTGCAAGTGGTGTCAGCAGGCACCCAGTGTAATTGCAGAAATCAGTGGGGGGTGGGGGAAGGGCTCCTGTCCTGTTCCCTGGGGCTGTGTCAGCTCACGCAGGACTGGAGCCAGGCACAGCTAAACAGGCACAGGCAGGAGGTGTGGTGCTGGCTGTTGGCAGGAGGGGGCCCAGGCTTGGCCTGAGCCAGGACAGCTGTGGGGGAGAGGTATGGGGGGGCTTCCCCCCCCTGCTGCTTGGCCCAGCTGGCCAGCGCAGCTCCTCTCCCCAGCCCCGTCCCCCCACCCTCACCCCCTGGGCTGTCAGAGGCGGTGGGGGGAAGGGAGGGGAAGCAGAAATCCCCTGCCGCACAGACTCAGCTCCCCCAGACCCAAGCCTGCACAGGTAGGGAAGGGATCAACATATTGGGAGCTTCCCCTCTTCCCCACCTGGCCCTCTCCCCAGTCCTTCCACCCCATAAGGCAGCCAGCTGTCAGCAGCTGATAGCTGGCCATTGGTGGGAGTTGGGGCTGGGGAGAAGGGCCGCACTGGCCAATCAGGTGTGGCCGGCTGCTCAGCTGGGCTTAACATTCTCCAGCATGTAGCAAGGTGTACAGGAGTGCTCACCACCTGTTGGCCTTGGCCAAGGCAGGCAGCCTTTGTGCCCCCCACCCTCACCCACACATACACACCAAAAGCTGAATGTGCATTTTGTTCACTCCTGACCTAACTAGGGTGCTTAGAATAAGGCTTGAAACTTTAGTCCACTTCCTCTTCAGGCTTTTTGAATGTCTGTATTTAGCCTCAAAGTGGCCCAAATCAGCCCTGCTCAGTTCTTTTTATGCAGTTGCTGAGTGAACATTTCTCTTTTAAATGTAAGTAAATGTTACCTTTTTTGGCATCTCCAAGGATTAATGAGAAGATTTTTGTGGGAGAAAGGGTATATTTTATGATAATTTTTAAAGATTTTCACCCCCCTGCCAAAAAGAAAGAGAAAATGTGTCTCAACTTTAATTTCATAAAATATATGTCAAGAAAAGCTGTAAGCTCCTCTGCTAAGAGTTCTACAAAGGAAATAACTTGCCTACAAGGCAAATATCTATTAGAAATAAAAAATCTATGTACTGCTACACTTTTTGTATTGGTCCATGGCAGGAAGTTTTTCCCTAGTGTTTACGCATATACTTTTTTGGCATTCCGCACTGTAATATGTCTCACAAAAATTAAGATTTATCCACACAAATCCTCTAATTCAAGGGTTGGCAACCTTTTGCTTCTGTGAGCCACAAATCTCCACCCCTTGGAGAGCTCAGGCTACCTGACCCCCCTCCACAATTAGGTTAACCTCCAGCATGAGAGGGCAAAAGGGAGGGCTATGGAGGAAGGCACAGCTGTATGCTGCCCAATGTCACATACTCAGTCAGATCTTCCAGCCCAAATCTGACCTGTGGGCTATGGTTGCCTAAGATTTGGAAATGTTCTCTTTCCCATTTCATAGAGAGGGAATCTAAACCACTGAGGGTGTATGCACACAAGATGCTTTACTGCTCAGTAGAGCAGTTTACTGCACAGTAAGTATGCACGTCTACACATGCACATGCTTATTGCACAGTAAACTGTTCTAATCGTGAGTAAACGTGCTACCTGCAAATGCAATTAGCAAATTTATTTCCAATTAGTTACTGCTCAGTAGCGCTCATGTAGAAGCGTGACCAGGAGCAAATGTAACTGCGGACCTGGTGCTGGGAGATAAGGGTCTCCCAAATGCGGATCAGAGGCTGGGAGCTCCCTGCTGACAGGAGCTGGAGAGCCTGTTCCCCACCGAGCTCCATGATCACAGATCTGGGTGGGGAACAGGTGCAGATCTGGCCTCACCCAATTCTGCAGTTATGGAGCTTGGCGAGAACCAGACTTTCCAGCCCCTGCCCCGCAGTCAGTGCCCTGATCAAGCGATTGAGGCATGGGGCTTGGACAGAGCTGCAGGAGTGGGGCAGCTATCAGTGAGCCCCCAGCTGGGGATTCCCTGCCCAGTGGGGGCTCATTGCTAGGTGCCCCACCAGTGGATCGGGGCACGGGGCTGGGCCCTTCCCCTCCCCTGCAGCTGTTTCCAAGTCCCCTGCCCCCAGTTGGGGAGCCAGGGCCAGTAGCTCCCTGCTGCCAGGGCAGGGGGACATTGTCCTCTCCTGGGCTCTGGTGGCAGAGCCCAGCCCAACAGCAGGCAGCCCCGCAGGGGCAGGGTGAGGTGTCCCAGCTCCCACCAGAAGATGGCTGTCTCCTGGCCATGAGCAGCAAATCTGCTCTGGAGTCCCTGCATGTGTAGATGCCTTCCCAGGCATGTTTACTCGCAAGTAAACTGCTCCCAGATCAAATGCATGAGTAGACATACCCTGAGATATTAAGTGACTTATGCAAAATCACCTGGGAATAGGATCCTGGCCCTTTAACCCTCTTCCTACTATTTGAATAGAAAAGGCAAAAATTGCAAGAAATGGTCAGCCGTACCCAGTAAATGACCAATGCCACTTCCATTGAAACCCGTGGCAAAGTACCAGTTATCTCAGTAAAAGCAGATCACACCCCAAGTAAACATTTCTGAATTTGAGCTTTTCACAATATTTACCTCACATACAGTTCAGTAAATTCAGGAGTTTAAAATGAGATGACCATCCACATTTAGCTGTAATTGGTGTAAACTTGCTGATATCAATAAAGTTTAAACAAGGGATGGCCATTTTTGTTAGCGACAAGTATGTACTCCCCTGAGAAACAATTTTACAATGAAGTATATACATTAGCTTTCATTAATTCTATGAATAATATTCATACTAACTCTGGATTCTGTTTCAGATATTGATGAAACAGAGCTAACTGTGAAACGTAAGTTGCACCATGTGATACTTTATTGTCTTTAAACATGTTCTGGGTTTCTTGGTTTGTTTATTTGGTTTTCTTTTCTTTCATTGTTGTAGAACTTTCCTTTTTTTTTCCTTTCAGCATCATACCGTGGAACTGTAGCTCTCGTCATAATAGTAATACTGGTGATGGTGGCCGCTGTTCTATTTGTATTGTACAAAAAGAAAAATAGTCTCTTCAGTAGAATATTGTGGGCCAGAAATGCCTATTATTTTCAAAATATATCGGAAGGTCCTACTTTGGAAGAAAGCATCCTCATTTCTGATCTTGAGAAAAATAATGATTATTAATTGTTCCAGAAGGAACATATCAATTGAATTTAATGTTGATGATACAAAGAAGCTCTACAGTTTAGTTCATTTTATGAACTGGTTGCCACTGAGGACCAGATCGTCCTCCATCTTTTTTGCAAGGGACAAGCTAAAGAGTGGGAAATTTCCACTTAAATTGCCAACAGCAGTCAAAAGGAGGGGGGCTGGAGCCAAAACAGCAATGTGTTACCCTTTTTCTGCCCCCATGGAAGCTTCTTCTTGTGAATTCTGTGCAGAAGCACTTCTGCAGATGGGACAAGAATGGCAGAGAGGCTGTGAAACCTCAGAACATCCACTCTATGCAAATTCATCCCATCAGCATTGACTCTGGTGGGAGGGTTGTGCCCCACTGCTGGAAACCTGCTTGGACGGTGGATTTTTCTAGTCAAAACAGGCTTTTTTAAAAGGTAGGCTACCCTAGTTCGTAGCTCAGAAGTCATCATTCTCTGTGATGGTGCAAAAAATAAAATGTTTGCTGCCACGTCTTTTTACAGATTTCAAGTATAAAGGGTTCAATACTGTCATGATTAAAGTCAGTAGTGAATCTGCCATTAGCATCAGTGGCAGAGGACCAGGCCTGGCCTGGCCTGTTCTAATTTGATTTTGACTCAATACAGCGGTGCTAAGTAAATAGTTCTAAGAATATCAGAGACTCCAGCCCCTATGGGGAAAAAAATCTTAAAAATCATAACACCACCACAGATTATAGAAACTGCTGCAGGAGTCAATGCTGCATAAACCCTCTGGCTCAAAGGCAGCAAAGGTTTTTATTTCCTGAACTTTATATTTTCAATAGCTTTTTTATTTCCGTTTACGCAAGAAGTAGACTCTGCCCATAGTTTATATGAAATTCTTGTCCTGAATTCAGGAACCCGAAAACATTCTGATATTATAAAAGCCTAAGTCTGTCTGTCTGTCTGCCCGTAATTCTTTATTCGCACTCTAATTGGCTGTCTCAGAGTGCCTTACACAGACAGAGAAAGACAGTGAAGTGCTGCCATGACAGTGGGGACTGAGGGACCAAAGGGGAGGGTGGCGAGGCCAGCAGAGCTGCTGGCCTCGCCCCCCTCCCCTGCTCCTTGGAGGCATAGGGAGACAATGAGGACTGGAGTACCACCATGATGGAGCAGGGGCCAAGGCCAGCAGTGCTGGCCTCACCCCCCTGGGTCTGCTTCTTGGAGCCAGGAGCTGGCGCCCCCCCCCCCAACAGCCAGCAGGGCAGGGAGGTGGCGGGGAACAGGGGAGGGAGTAGAGAAGGAAGGGACGGGAGTTACTGGTGACTGCACCCCACTGCCACCACGAACACCACCATGGTCATGGGCCTCAGCCCCAGCCCGAAGCAGCAGGGGGAGGCGAGGAGCAGCCCTGGCCCCCAGCCCGAAGTGACAGCGGGAGGCGGGGAATGGGCCAGGTCCCAGCCCCTGCCCAAAGTGGTGGGGGGAGAGGGAAACGGCCCCAGCCCGAGGTGGGGTGGAGGTAAGGGACGCAGGCTTCTGTCCCCACCCGCCCCACCCCCCGTTTTTATTGACAGGCAGTTGGCTAGTAATCACATAATTGCCAGAATAGCTAGATCGTTGCTAACACCGGAGTCCCCTTTATGGATTTCGTACAGGTGGAGAAAGGTAGCCATTCTAGATTTGCTTTGTTGTCTAGTTTGTGTAAGTATCTTTGCCAGATTCCAACCAAATTAGAAAGTACTTTATATTTTCAAAAATAAATTTAAAGGGAAAAAGTAGAGATGTCAGAATTGACCAATTTAACTTATTATTCCTACCTCATTGCAATAAAATTAAAAGTTAAGATTTAGAATGGTTACTTTGACATTTTAAAGATGACAGAATAACTGGAGTTGCTTGCAGTGTCCTGTTAAGGACAAAACTGTGAGGTGGCATACCATCAAAAAATGGCTACTTTCTTTGATTGCATATTTAGTCAATATCTATATGAAGAAAATTATTATAATCAGTGTTGCTAAAGCTCTAATAACACATTGCTTTGCTTCTCTTTTACATAAGGAATTACTTTTACACTCTTGAGACCATGTCCTCAAAAGTTAAGTAGGATATGTAGCAAATATATATGTGTGTCTCCGAAAGATGATTGTTGTCTCTACCCAAATGGTAAATTAATGATTTAATAGACTGTCACATGGAGCTGAAGTTCTTTACTTTCCTTGTTCATGGTAAAGTACTAACAAAGTGGTCTTCCAGTCAGAAAAAATGTATTAAAAAATGGCTTGAGGCTACATGTTTTCTCACAAAATTTCATTGGGAAGGTGTTCTGCAGCCTGGTGGTGGAACGCTGGTTTGGAATGCAGAATACCCGAGGTCAAGTTCCTGTTTTTCCTCAGTGAGAGTGATCCGGAATGAAAATCTGCTCTGCTTCATATAGAGCGGGGCTTGAACCTAGATCTTTACATCCCAAACCAAGACCTTACCCACCAGGAACTAGATGGAACAAAACTAAATTTTCAAACCTCATTGGTTGCCACAAAATGAAATGGCTGTCTTTTGGTCAGCTGTAGTCATTTTAGCAAGTGTGAATGCACCAAATGAGATGTCAAAGGGGGTGTCTGGACATGCGTGGACATTTGGTTCCCCCGGGACAACTAGCAGCGGTGCACCTTGCACTGCAGCAATTTGTCTCCAGGGAAGGCCTGTGCCACACGTGCTTTGGCATGCGGCAAGTTGCCCTGGGTTGGGTAGGGGAGGCCGCGGCCAGCACTGGGCTGGCCACATGAGCCTTACCTGTGGTCCTGGGGGCCTCCCAAGGCTGCAGCCACAGCAATTCTGCCTCACAGAGCCTGGCTGGCAGCAGAGCGCAGCTCCGAGTGGCCTGGCTCCGCTTTTAGCAGTGCGCGCGCAGCACACATTTGGGCAGCACGCCCTTGCAGTGCAGAGAACACTGGACTGTGTGGTATGTGGTGCTGCAAACATGTTTGCAGTGCCACATACCACACAACTGCGCTCGTCTGGACATGCCCAAAGTACATCAAATACCTACCTCCACCCTTGTGAATAGCTCTTCATTTTTGAAAAATGTGAAAATCAATAAAAATGCTCATATCGGCCCTTCTGCAAGTGCCAAAACATGAAGATGCGTCTGTGACAATCAAGCTGACAGACCAGCTCAGCTGGAACTTGCTTTATAGTATATATATGCAGAAAAGGATTACTTTGTTTTGAATTTATACTTGAATGTATCCGCGCAACCCAAGTTTTTTAGCAGTTGTATTTAAAAAGCATTAGAAATTGAGCACAGTTAGGCTTTGGCACTCTTACCATACACTATTTGTGCCTGTTTACAGTTTATAGCATTTACAGAGATAAAAAGATTAGTCAAAGTGGTTTTGGAGAACACTGGCCCTAATTTCATGTAACTGTCACTTTCATTAGTTTCTCTGGAGGTAACTATTCCAGATACTTACCTAGATGAAATGTTAATTAAATATTTACATATTTTATTAATGGTTTTTCATTCTCTTTGTTAGTCCTCAGCAGTGTTTACAAAGTTGGACCTTAGTCCAAAAAGATTTGTGTGATTGATGCTATGCTTGTGAGTAGTCCAGTGCGTTGGCAGATTGGGAATTTAGAATACAGCAGTCATATCTTTACCTGGTATAAATTTCTATGGCTCCACTGAGGACAGTTTTGCAATCTGAATTGACCTTTAAAGTTCATATAAGTAACCCTGCTGTAACCTTGTTGAAGTTTGTGGGACTAACTGCACAAGTAAATATTTGCAGATATGAAGCTAGAATTTCAGCTGACATAACTTCTCAGTGAAGCTATGATAAGTTACAGGATGTGTTGTAAATTTTATTTGAGATTCCCCTAAAATCCTTCCTATTCAGATATCCATTGAAGGAATCTGAATTCAGCCATCTAACTCAAGCAACACTTCCAAGACATAGTAATTGTCCTTGGGTTAAACAAGCTCTGAAGACACGTCATTTACTAGCCTGGAGAGCTGTTGTCAAGTTAACAGGATATACCTCAGAATTGCATATTTTTCTTTAAGGTGTTTTTGCCAAATTTGCCTAGGTATTTGTAACTTTCTTTCAAGCAGATTGCAAATGTTTTTATAATATTTCTTTGAAATGAACATTTTCATATAAATGTGCTAAATTCAAAATTGTGCATGTTGACTTTGATGTGAATAACCTCAAAATAAGAGGGAAATTCAGAGAGTGTTCTCTTCATTCTTTCTTTAGAGGTGCGAAGGGCTTGGCTCTTAAACCATCCTTTAAAGCAGGTGTCAGTAGCCTTTCCAAGAGGCCTCGAAGTCTCTGCCCCTTCCCTGCTTCAAATGGCTGGCTGCCAGATTCCTCACCAGCAGGCTCCTCAGTGTATGGGAGCACTGTGAAGTGAAGGGGCTGTGCAGCGCAGCTCTGTGAAATCAGTCCCCTATCTTGTATATTGGATCTGTACAGACCGGATCCGATTTCTTTGCAGGCCAGGTCCAGCTCACAGAACCCAAGTTTGCTGACCTCTGCTTTAGTCTTTCACTACTTAACCTTCAAGATCATAACTAGCATTCACTCAAAACTGTAATTATTGAGTGTGTTTTCTGATCTACTTTGTACTGATCTTGTGTTTTGCCTTTCCAGATTACAAAGTGCCTGTATTATTCCTAATCTGAATTTTTAATGAATTTATTTTTATTATGATTCTTACAAGTATTGATGGTCTTGGCCATTTGTTTTACTTTGTTATTTCAATTTGAAGATTAAAGAATAAATAATGTTATCATGTGCTGTGTTTTTCTTTTTAAATCTTTCACTTAACCCATTTATTAAACCTTGTTTTTAAATTAATATTTTGTATTATTTGTTTAATAAATTTGCCACAGTACAGACAGTGAAAAACATTACCTGTGATGGAATTGCATCATTTATACAATTATGACTTTTTTTTTGTGGTTAAGGACTGGATTCACTAGAGAAGAAGGAAAATAGATACTGCACTTTTTCTCTTCTAGCCCAGCCTCTGGCAAATTGACCCCAAGCAAGAAAGGGAGCAAGGGCAAGTGATTATGTGCTCCCACCCATTTCGGGGATTTGAAGGTTGAATTGCTTGATGGTCTATGCTCCTGGATTCCGTGCATCCTTTTCTCAGTGTCACTGCTGGGGCTACATCCTCGTCTTAGGATGTACAGTTCCTTAGTTGGCCTCCAGTCAGAGGAGCAGCTGTGTTTAATTATCACTTGAATGTTACTTCCTTCCTGTGGATTTTCACCTCTAAAGCAATGGGAGTGCAAATCTTAGCTAAGTTTAGGTCTAAAGGTGTTCTTCCTTTTTCATTTCCTCTTCTTAGCCTAACAACAAGCGTTCTTAGCCTTTTATAATAAAGCCATTATAATTAAATCCACATCTATCCCGTCATACAACTAAGTATTAAAGGACCATCAGTCTTCTGCATGAGTAGCGCAGGCCTCTTCTTGAGTTAGATGTCATTGGTATTAAAGATTGTGTAACTTTGTATTCCAGCGCCTCTTAATTATGACCTCTCTTCTACCAATAAACTCAGCAGAGATTTCTCTAGAATTGCACTACTGTAAGCGTGTCTAATTCCATCCAGGAAGAGCACACACCAACTGCAGATGCTTCCTCAGCCTGACAAAGGGTATTTATACCCAAAAACTTGCTAAGAAGAATCTTTCCAGCTATTTCAGTTGGTCTAATAAAAGATACTAGATTTATCCAAAGAACGTTGTCTGCCTATGTCCCTAGACCAACACAGCTACAACCTATACCCCTGTAATTAGAATCAAGCCCTTGATCAATACCAAATAGGTCTTGTTCTGTCCAGTAGATGGCAGTGATAGCACCCAGCTGATACATTGTTTAAAGTTAACTGGCCTGAGAAGTAAACTGATAAAACACAATTTGGGAAGGAACCCTATAAAACCTGCCTGTTTCCTACTAACTTCAGTGATTGTAGGACTGAACCCTGAGGATGTTACTTGCACATTACTAATGCAATTTATTATTCCAGCTGCCTGGAGAGCCAACAGTTTTGTTTCAAAATAAGTTTGGTGGTTTCAAAATTTCTTTGCATACCATATCGGAATGGAAACAGAACCATTTTCACAAAATACAATGTTGTTGAAGTGCCTGATTAGGACTTAAGAAGTCACATTTGCAGTTCAGGTCCTGTTTTCTCTGGAAGAGACTGAAGAATACACCTAGGCCTTTAGAAACCTTCCAGACAAAAACTCCATCAAATAAATATCTTCCCACAGAATCCTTTGGCCTTGAACAAGTTATTTCATCAGAAATATTTCCACTTGCTCTGGATAGGTGGAATGTACATTTGCTTTAAAAACCTTATATATTTCTCATTATTTGTTGACATGTTCAGTATAATCTCTTATTTAGCAAACCTGTATGTAGAAAAATACAAAAGCAGTTTGTTAATCTAGTGATTTTTTTATTCACTGTTTCAGTTCTCAGTTTTGCTGGTGAGAACAATTTTTTTTTCCTTTCTTGTGGCTTTTGCAGTAAGGAGCTGAGCCTTGGAGATGACTGCATCAGTCTCCATTGACTTTAAACAGAAACTAACATTAAGATTCAGATCCTAAATCCTTACTAAGAGGTTTTGCACAACACTACAACATTACATAACTTTAAGCTAGAAGGGAAGGTTCACTTCTGATATTCTTGGGTTTTCTTATGCCTTAAATTTTCTATATGTTCTTGATCATTCTGTGATTGATTCAATTAGCAACAATGATTAAGGAAAAAGAAGTAAACCAGGAGCTTGGCCTAATACAAGTGATAATATCTTAATGTATTAGTGTTCTGCAATATATCTTACATATTATATGCATATCCAAGGGCAGTACTGTTAGAAATAAATACTGACCCACTACTATTTTTCTGTTTTACTCTGGGTAAAGCTTGTTTTCTTTATTTTTAAGCAAACAAAAGCTTCAACACAATTTTAGCAAACAAAAGCTTCAACACAGATCCCTAGTGGAACAAAACTGAACTGGACATGCTACAAATCTTTAAAATGACTTATGAATAGACTCTGCTCTGCTTTAAAACAGTTACACAGGGAAGAGAGGAGGAATATGGTCCCTTCTCCAGACCACCTTACAGGTAATCATGAAGATAATCCCTGGTTTGGAGCATGCTGGAAAAGAGCAGAGGTATACCTGATATTCCCCTCCTCCACCTGTGTGTGTAAGTAGGCGAATGACATGGACAGACTGGAGCCAGGGCTTTTTCTTTTCATGCACTTGGCACTGATCCCATGGTGCCAAAAATGAGATCTCTGATTACAGCTATGGTTCTGGGATTTACACTAGTGTTTCAGGATAAATGTATGAAGAACCAGTGTAGATCTGGTTCTTCTTACTCTTGTTCAAGTTCAGCTCCTTTAACTTTAGTGATTTACACCGGTGTAAATGGAAGAAAGTCAAACCCAGTAAAGCTATAACTAATAACTCTGCAGGATAAGCCAGAATGCAATGAATTTGTCCAGCCACTAAGAAGCTAGCACTTTAAACTCAACCATGCTGATGGGAACATCCAATGAAGTCTAGCAGCTGTGACTAAAATATATTATACAATGCCAACCAAATAGAAGTCATCTTTAAAAAAAAACTCTCTTCTGTAATTTGGTTCCTTTTTGTATAAATGTATTAGTCAGATGATTTGGGGGAAATTACTGCATGACACTGAAAAACCCATCTACTGTGGAATTTTTTATGAAAAATAAAAAATTCCCATTTTCAAATTTATTCTGGCCACAGCACTAACAGAGCAACTTGGAAAGGTTAAAGTAAACGTGGGAATAGTACTGTTCACTCTGCAATCTGGTAGTTGCTAGAATCTCTGCTGAACTTCATGGGGGATTCCCTACCTCACCTACTCAAAAGCAGGAGAGAAGCACATGTATAGCTCCCTCTTGGCAGCAAATGCACAGGAAACAAGCTGACATAATGACGAGAAAGGCTGATATAAACTAAAAGTGGACTCGATTTAGTCAGCAGATTCAGGCAAAGATGGCTTCATTGATATTTGTTGATAGTTGATACTAGTTTCAGTACTGCAGTGAAAGGCTTGATGCTTTAAGGCTTGATCAAGCATGCTGCAAACTGGACAGAAAACAGAAACTTTTTAAAGATGACTTCTATTCTGTTGGCCCTGCACAGTATATTTTAGCCACAGCTGCTAGACTTCATTGGTTGTTAGTTAATGTACCTGTAAAAGAGTACCTGTGTTCTAAGAACACTGTACAACTTAGGGGCCCAAACCCACATCTGTTACTCTCATGCATAGTTCTACTAGCAGTGTTTATACTATCCTCTTTTGGAAGTTCTCTCATGCTCTCTAATGCACTTAACCTAGTATTTATCTGTACTCTATAATCAACCCAATCACTGTGGGTGCCTGTACACATGCAGGGAGGCTGCTCTTTGGAGTAGACTCAATTAAGCTCCAGCCAGCCTCTGCATCTCGTGTATCAGTGTTCCCGTGCTTCAAAATGGTGAGCTTTAGTTAAAGTGCTCCCACCACCATTTTGAAGCACAGGGATGTAGATACATGAGATGCTGCAGGTACTTTAATTAGAGTGTCCCTTGGAGCCACTCTGATTAAAGTGCCATCCACTCCTGCAGCATGTTTAAAAACATCCTGTATTTTCTAAACCTCTAAAACTCAAATCTTCGTGTTAAAATCAAATGTATTTTCAAAGGTTGAGTCTACACGGGGGAATACACTATGACTGTAAATGCCAGAGATGCTTGAAGTGAGTGGAGGAGAAATACATCCAGCAGTGGCTTCTGGGAGCTTTCTGCCTGTAAAGAATAGAGGTAAATACAATGCTTATAGATAGAGACCTATCAAAATCGCGATTGTGCAATTTTTGCAAAAAATATGATTTCAGGCAGGGGCTTTGTGAAAAAAGAATGTCTTGCTTTAAAAAAAAAAAACCTTACCAGCAAGCAGAGCAGCCCTGCAGCCTTGAAGCACTGGGGGGAGGGCAGGGGCAGAAGGACAGAAGGGGCAAGGACTGGGGGGAGGCAGGGCTGCTCACAGCAGCAAGCAAGGGAAGCAGCCCCATCGTGGGGCCACAGACCACATACAGGGTGTCCACTATGGTGAGCCCACAGCACATAGTTGATTCAACCCTGCCACAGGACAACAGGCCGTTATCACCTGGGGAGGAAGGAAAGGGGAAGAGAACATTAAGTCAGGCATGATATGCCTACTGCCAATGGCTCATAACTTTACTAGGTTCCACTACTGATGTGTTTTCACCATAGTGAATACTCTGTACGTGGTCTGTGGTCCTGGGGCGGGGCTGCTTGCCCCACTCACTGCCGCAAGCAACCTTGGCCCAC